TCCTCCCCCGCCACTAGGGGCCCGCCACCCCTTGTCACCCCCTGGGGTTAGGGGTGGGAGCCCCTTCGGGGCCTCGGGGACTCCTCCTCTTTGTCGCTGTCAGTGAAGGAATGTGGGGCGGGCTGGGAGGGGGAAGCCAAGGCCGAGTTCCCCACTCTAGGGGGCAGGGACTTCCCTCTCCGCTACTATCCCTCCGGGGACACCTTGGCATGGGGCTGGGAGCCCCAGTGCTGACGCCGGAGTCTCGACTCAGGCTCTCCCCCCTCCCCTGTCTCCAGCGCCCTCTTTCCCCTCATCGAGGCACCTTTTTCTCTCTTTCCTCCCTCTTTCTCTCGGGTCCTGGGCCCACGCGGCCGCAGGGTGGGAGCTAAGACATCAGGGGTTTCCAGGTAGATCCCCTGCTGCCTCCTCCTTGTCCTTTCCGGGTACTCAGGCCTGGCCGAGGACCCAGAAGCCCCGACACCACGGTCCCCTCCCACCCACCCAGCTTCACGGAGGCTCCGGAGAGGGTGCCGGGAGCGCCGAGCCCCGGGGGTTCCGTGCCTTCCGCGGCGTCTCTGGCAGCGTCGGCTTCTCCGGCGCCAGTGCCCCCGAGCGGGGCCTCCTGGTTCAAGCCTAACCCTAGGTCTCTACCCTGCCATTGCTTGCTCTCTTCCCCTCTCCTCTCTCTCGTGTTCACTTTCGCTCTCACTTCGGAATCCCGGGCTCCCCGGGGCCCAGCGTCAGCCTCCCTTCCTGCCCCTTCCCCGGCGGTGACTGTGGACTCGGATCACGGACGCGGCGACTCCCGCCCTTCCCGGCGAGCGGGCTGGCGCTCCCCTCCCCCTCCGCAGCCTGGGTGGAGGCGGAGGGCGAGCGCTGGCGGCGCCGCACAAAGGGGCCGGGGCGACCTCCCCACCCTGCCCCTACTCCTGGCCGTCTTGACCTTGAGCAATGAGTGCTGGGGCGTGTGTGTGTGTGGGGGCTGGGTAGGAGAAGGAGAGACCCTGGCGCAGGGCTGCGTTTGGAGAATGGACCCTAGGCTTCCAGCCGCTCTTGGCCGAGGGAAGTTGGGGGAGTGTGTGTATGGGGCGGGCACGCGCCGAGAAGTGGGAGCGAAGAGGGCTTGAAGCGGGTGTAGGGGACCAGCGTCAGGGGCGGTGGTGTGCGATGGCGACGTGCCTTCTGCTGCCTCCCACCCTCGGCTGCACACACACACTCAGCCTTCACACCGACGGGGAACAGGGTTTCTCGCCTGGTGATAAATGTACAGACTTCTGCAAGTGGGGCGGAAGGGGGAAGGGCTGGAGACCAGAGACAGTGTGACAGTGTAAGGTGAGCATCACCAGCATCGTCTTTGCTTTGTCCTACCCAGAGTTCTTTCCCTAAGGGCAAGGCTAGGGAGTCCCTTGCTCTTGAAAGTGAGAAGCTGGAGAGCAAATCCCAACTGGAGCCATTAATTCCCTCCCTATCTTCGTTTTGCCATTTGTGAACTGGGCATCATAATACTTTTTACTTGCTGAGGCTGTTGTGAGCCAGACGCTTTAGTGAGATCTTTAGGGAGCTCTGGTGGCCTAGCCCACAGCACAGGGACTTGAGCTACTAATCCAAATGCTGTGCTCTTCTGGTGAGTCACATCCACCAGTGGCTGTTCAGGAGAGAGATGGACAATCTCCTCCTGTAGGTTGGTAACCTCTTACAACAGAGGGTCAGCTCTGAGTCAGTTCTGACCAGTGTTTTATGAGCACTTCTTAGTTCCTTAGGTCATTAAGAAACTCAGGTGCTATAACATGTTAGGTGTTGGGCCCCTCAAGTCCCAGATGACGTCTGGCACCTCCTGCAAAGATTTATAGCCAGAAACCTATTGGAGGATTGGCTTGATTGACTTGCCTGCCAATGGGTTTAATATAGAGTCTGATCTCAACTAAATGTGTAAGTGCTGGAATGATATATAGAGTCTGATCTCAACTAAATGTGTAAGTGCTGGAATGATAGCATAATGGTTTTTTGTCATGTGCCAGCTCCCTCACTGGACATAGGGTTGGGAGCATTGTTTGGATAAAGGAGAGAATACCATGTTCAAATGTGGAGATGAGTATGCTGATGGGGACCTGTAGAGGTGACTGAGGTTAAGGAAGGGGTGATGCTTCAAGTGTCCAAGTGTCGGCTTGGCTTTGTGAATTCAGATCCTGCTGGTGGACAAAGCCATCTGGAGAGGTGACAGAACTGATGTTAAGGTTCTGGTGTGGAGTGAGCTGGGGTATCTGAAAGTAGAGGTGTGGGGAGCAAGTTTAAGATGGTGTGTGGGAGATCGGTGCAGTTGGACAGAGGTGAGCGAAGAGGTGTGGCCAGAGCTCCCTTTGAGGGGAACTAGTGGGTGGGGAAGACAGGACTCATTGTGAATTCGATTTGGGGGCACAGAGGCCAGAGTGAGTGGGGGTGGAAGTGCTGGTATCTCACTTACATACTCTGCCACCTGCTTGCCGCCTACTCTGGACCAGATGCGAAGCAGAGACCCCAGCTGGGTTTATGCGGGAAGAACCTAGGAGAGGAATTTGTAAACAGTTGGCTTCTTAAATGTAGATACATGGGAGTGTGTGGAGTGTGATTATGGGAGGGGCATTAAGAGGTGAAAGGCTGGGCTCCCTCCCCCTGGTTGAAGATGGATCCTTGATGAATAGGAGTGTACCTGTGAATAACCAGCCTTTGCCCATGAACTGTGCATCCTGTGGTTTAGATGCTGAACGTGTGTGTGTGTGTGTGTAACTGGCTGGCAGATGAGTTTACTTTCTCTGGGTTGCTGTCTCTGAGTCTCTTAGAGTGTGCCTTTGTGGGTGACAGTGGGAGAGAGAAAGGTGTAAGGCCCACGAGGGCTTGGATGTCTGAATGAATGAGTTATTTCTGCAGTCCCACCTTCCAATAGCTGCTGGAGGCTGAAGGCTGTTGTTACCTCAAGCCTTGAACTTAACCTCCTTGTGCCTGGTTACTCATTTGGAAAACAGGTATTAATAGCACCGCTCTGAAGGTTGTGATGAGACTTAAATGAGTTAATCTTTATAAAACACTTGGAACTATGTCTAGCGTGGTCGATGAGGTTGGTAAATGCTTTTATTGAATATCCACTCTACCCGGCAAGGTTCTTTCTAATAAGATTAGCTGTTGTGCTGCCAACCTAACAGGCTTACCAACCTAGCAGACAAGCAGTGCAAAGCCACCAGCTCTGAGGGAGAAAGGATGGGCAATCTCCTCTTATGTGATTTACAGCCTCTGAAAACGTGCTGGAGTATCAGCTATGTGTTAATTCTAATGTGATGGCACATAAAAACTGCCACAATATCCCTGGTTCATTCAGCTCAGTGTTCTCCAGAGCTTCTGCAGAATATGTGCACTTATTGAGCACTTACTTACTACATGTCAAACCAACCAGCCAGCTGAGTTAATTTTTGTTCATAGTGACCTAGTGTGTGACAGAGTATAATTGTTTTCCATATTTGCTTGTTTTTTAAAAAAATTAAAACAAGCTCTGGCCAATTTTATTGAAGAAAAATGTTACATGATTTCCTTTTCACCAGTCTGTTCTTGCATGCTTCTAATGCTGTCAAAGCCACCTGGATCAAGGATAGCCAGTGTGCATACTCTGTAGTATTTTTCACATGCTGTGCCCAGTTCAGTATTATTGCCACTGAAGTGATGGACACCAGTTTTGGCCAACATGATGTAGGACTCAATTTCAGATTTCCTCAAGGCTGGGCTGTTGTTGGTGAGGATGGCCAACTTGGCTTCTCCTTGCCTGATCATCTTCAGAGTCTGCTTTACCCCTGCAAGTATTTTCCACTTTTCATAATAAGCTGGAGCCTAGATGTGATTGACTTCAGAGACCTTTTCATCTTTTTTGCAGCTACCATCTTTTCTCCTTAGGTACAGGCTGCAGCAGCTGATAAAATGGCCAGGCATGGAAGAAGCTCCAAGGGGTTTTTAATGGCTGATTTTTTCAGAAGTAAATTGCCACACTTTTCTTCCAAGGCACCTCTAGGTGGACCCAAACAGCCAACCTCTTAGTAGCCAAGCATGGTAACTATTTCCATCACTCAGGGACTCCCAGTTACTATAATATAATGTCAGATCCAAAACCAAACTTGGTGCCATCAAGTCGAATCCGATTAATCCATCGGGTTTCTGAGGACATAAATCTTTATGAGAGGACACTGCTGTCATCTTATCTGGAATGGCTGGTGGATTCAAACTGCCAACTTTTCCTTAGCAGCTGAACACATTTTATATAACGCTAAGTGTCTGCCACCTTTTAAAATGCTTTATTCATATATTCATTCTATTCAAGGCTGCATATTTATTAATTTTATCTTCAAAGCAATCCAAGTAGACACCACCCTCATTTTATAAAAAACTGAGGCCCAGGAAGGTTAAGTCATTGGCAAGGTCACATGGCCAGCAAATGGCAGAATCAGGGCTCGAACCCAAGAGATGTACCTGCTGTCACTCCTGTGGAAGGAGTTGTGCAGGTAGGGTGACTGAGAGAATGTGGCTGGGTGAGGACTGATCCCGAATAGGATAGGATGGGGAACAGCACCAATCAACCATATGTGTGACAACTGCAATATGAGGAGTGGGGGAGTCTGTGACCACCTGCAAGGTGGCTCTAACTTTCTCAGTGTGAAGTATGTGTGTAAATCACTATAAACGTGCGGGTGTAGCTATGTGGGTCTATGTCAAGATGTGTGGATCGGATTTTAGGGTAAAATGTGTGCGCGTGAGTGTAACTGAATGCATGTGTGAACTGCAGGATGTGGGTGCGAGTCCAGGTGTGCAGATTCGTGTACGAACCGAACCGACGACGCCTGTGTGAGAAGCAATGTGCCTGTGGGCGTGTGTGTCTGCGAGCTCCAGGGCCCCGCCCCTGTCCATCGCCGGGTGGGCGGGGCCCCCAGTATCGGAACTACCACTCCCAGCATGCTCCGGGCTGTCCCGCCCCGCCTCCGCGATTGGCTGTAGCCTCCGTTCTCCCACCCCCCGGGAATGAATGGATGGGCGGCCTCGGCGCCTGCTGGAGCGCTGGGAGGACCGACCCGGCGGGGACCTGCTGGGGGCAGGACCCCGGGAGCAAGATGGCCACGGTCATCCCCGGCCCCCTGAGGTGGTGCGGGCTGGCGGGAGGCGGGGGAGGACGCGCGGGCAGGTTTGCGCGGGCGTGTGTGTGTGTGTGGCGGCCGGGGGTGGGGCCGATAGGGTGTCTGGGGGGCTGTCACCGTGTGTGGGGCTGCCGGGGGGTGCAAGTGTGTGCGATTGCCGGTCTCTGGCAAAAATAATTTCCGACGCGCCGCTCTTGGTGGGGCGGAGGGTGTGTGGGGCCTCTAAGGCCTCCTGGGAAGGGGGTCATCATCCTCACCCCGCCACCCTCGGGGTTGCAAGGAGGGTGAAATGGCCGAGGGGCGCAGGGGCCTTGGTGAACTCGAGTCAAGTCTACACTACCTTTGTCTTGACATGTGGAGTGTGTGTATGTGATTTAATTGGGTTCTGGGATTTTGGAGCATGTGTATGATTTATTTCGCCCTAGATTATCTTCTGATGTGTATACATACGGTGTGTACAGGAGTGGAGTGACTGGAACTATTTGTGGTTTTTGTCTGCTGTGAGTTTGGGAATGTAGCGGTGTGTATATTTGTGTGTAAATTTTTTGCAATTCTGGGTGGATTTGTCTATCTTCCTGTTGTGTATTGTGTACGTGTGTATCTTTGTGTGATAGGATATGTGGTTATTTGAGACACTGGTTTCTATGCTGTATGTGTTTGTGCCTGTGTGTGTATCCTATGTGACTTCTTTGTGTTATGTCTCTGGATGCCAGCTTTGTGATTTGTGTTGTGACTTTGGTAAGTGTATGTGAGTTATTTACTGCTGCAATTCATGCCATTGGACATTGGTGTGTATCTGTGTGTGTCTTCTGTTTCCACATTGTGTGTCTTTGTGTGGGTGATGTGTTTGTGTTGCTTGTCTTGAGCTGTGTGATGCATATCTGTGCAAGGCTTTATGTGTGATCTATATTTTCCACACTCAGTGACTTGGAATATTTGTATTTTTGGCAGCAGTGTGTGTGTGCATGTGTGAGATTTATCTGTTTTTTCTTTGTGAGTCTTGGGCTATGTCTCTCTTTGTGTGTGAATCTGGTGTGACTAAGTGTGATTGGTTTGTGTGATGGCTTTGGATATGTACATGAATGAATGAGTTCAGGGTTGCGTTTTGTCTCTTTCTGCATTGAATCTCCTCTTTAGCTGGGGTCCCAGGTTGGGGTGGGGGACCATGGCCCTGGCCTCTCTCCTTCCTGGGTCTTGGAGGGCTCTGAGGTGGGAGGAGAGGTTGGAGGAGTCAGCCCACCCAACCTCAACCCTGGGCGGTTGGGGTTGGGAGAGGCACGTCCAAGGCCTGCCCTTGCTGACAGCCCCCGCCCGCCCACCTGGCCCGCAGCCTCGGGGAGGACTTCTACCGCGAGGCCATCGAGCACTGCCGCAGCTACAACGCGCGCCTGTGTGCGGAGCGCAGCCTGCGCCTGCCCTTCCTGGACTCACAGACCGGCGTGGCTCAGAACAACTGCTACATCTGGATGGAGAAGACCCACCGCGGGCCTGGTACTGCCGGAGGGGCGGCTCGGGGCGGGCCACGAAGGCTTGTGCTCCCTCCCCTTACCCTCCTCTCTCCCGCAGGTCTGGCGCCTGGACAGATCTACACGTACCCTGCCCGCTGCTGGAGGAAGAAGCGGAGACTTAACATCCTAGAAGACCCCAGACTCCGGCCCTGCGAGTACAAGATCGGTGGGTGGAAAAGAGGCCCTGTGCCTGCTGGGGTCTCTGGAGGTGTCCCCCAATCCACTGCTGAGTGGGTGTTTAACAAATCCCCCTCTAGTGAGTGGCTGTGCGTCTGATTTCTCTGGTTGTCTCCTAGTGACTGAACTCCTGGCAGGCTTTCCTCTGTGAGGGCCCACGTGTGTTAGGGCCTGATGCTGGTGTGTCTAGGTGTGGGGAGTCTCTTGACTGCAGCTGGGAGTTGGGTCTGCCAGAATGTGGGTGCCTTAGTATATTCATTCTTCAGTTCCTTGTCTGTGTCTCTCCTCTCTCCTGTGTTTGCACCTGGCCTTGTAAGAATGTCTGGTTGTCACTCCACATGCAGCCCAGGTGGATCAGAGGGGCTCTGTCACTGTCCAGGTGTCTTTCCTGCATGTGTCTGGCTATATTTTCCTAGGTGCATCAGAATAAGTGAGAGTTCCCTTTAGGGTTGGTGTATCAAGGGCATCTCATTGATTCATGTATGGGTCCGGGTTAGTTGAGCTGTTAGTAGGGCTGTTACTCTTCCCCTATCCAGGTATATACCCCAGGCTCAGCGTGTGCCCAAGTGTCCTAGAATGTCCACCTGACTGTGTCTTTTTCTGCGTGGGTCCACCTGCCCCCAAGGGTTGTATGTATCTGCCATGTCTGTGTGTAGCCTGTCTGATTCTCGCTGGGTGTGTTTCACTCGTTTAGGTGTGGCCAGGTGCATCGTAAGGTCTTCCCTCTGGGAGCCTAGGTGTCTAAAGGCCTATTTCTGCCCCCTGAGTATCTCTGAGTGTACTCAGTGTCTGGGTCTGGTTCCCCTGTGGGCCCAGCGTCTGATGAGGGTTGGTTTGTAGTGTTGTGGGTCCTTCTGTGATCCAGTGGATCCAAAGTCGGCCTGTTCTGCCCTGTGCAGGTCTGGGAATGTCTTTGTGTCTGACTGTATCCTCCCGAGTGTCCTTGGGTGTATCCAGAGATCTGGCCACGTCTGCCCCAGCGTGTGTCTCAGTGTCCCCAGGTTGTAGCTCCTTCTGGTTTGGCTAGCTACCAGTGTCTTCTCTTGCTGGTTGAGTGTGGGAAAGCCTCTTTCCTTTGCACCGGACAGTGAGAACCCTTTTGGGGACATTTTCTCACTTGACTGTCCTGTGTCCCTGTTTCCAGACTGTGAGGCACCCCTGAAGAAGGAGGGAGGCCTCCCGGAGGGGCCAGTCCTGGAGGCTCTGCTGTGCGCTGAGACAGGGGAGAAGAAGATGGAGCTGAAGGAGGAGGAGGCCATCATGGATTGTCAGGTAGGCCCAGCCCTGTGCCCTCCAGCCCTTTCTCCCAGCCATCCCGTTCCTGCTTCCCTGGGTTCCCTTAGACCCCATGCAGCCCAAGTTTCCATTTTTCCAAACCCCTTTCTTTCTAGAAGAACTGTCTCTTCCAGAACTTCCCTGAAAACAGGACACTGACACCCCTTTCTTGACCCCCAATTTCCCTTCCCTTGGTGGCCAGAAACAGCAGCTGCTGGAGTTTCCACATGACCTCGAAGTAGAAGACTTGGAGGATGACATTCCCAGGAGAAAAAACAGGGCCAAAGGAAAGGTATAACCCCCAAGCTTCTCCCCAGTACTCCTCCATCCGTAATGGGATCCCGATTCTTCAGTGTATACATTGATCAGCCCACGCCCAATAGGCCTGATATAATTTAGTGAGAGTTTATACCCATTTTCCGGGGACAGAAATTGAGGCTCCGTTAGATTAAGCCGTACGCCCAACACAGTGGGGCAGTAGTGGGTTCATGCCGTGCAGCAGGGCAGGAAACTGCCTCACGGAGTCTTTCTTGCCCCCTTGCTCAACGCTGGCCCCAGGCGTATGGGATCGGGGGTCTCCGGAAACGCCAGGACACCGCTTCCCTGGAGGACCGAGACAAGCCGTATGTCTGTGATAGTGAGTCCTTCTGACGAAGGGGAGAGCGAGCCAAGGGGGCCCCAAAAACTCTCCCTTCCTCCCCTCTCCCTGCGATTCTGACCCGGGGTCATGGGACGTGCTGCTGGGCCCTTTGGAAGAGGGAGGAGGCTGCCCTGGAGGCCAGGGTGGAAGCAGCATGGGCTGGAGGGGGCTGACCCGACCTCCCTGTCTCCAGTCTGTGGGAAACGGTATAAGAACCGGCCTGGGCTCAGCTACCACTACACTCACACCCACCTGGCCGAGGAGGAGGGGGAGGAGAACGCCGAGCGCCAGGCCCTGCCCTTCCACCGGAAAAACAACCACAAACGTGAGCAGGCAGGCCAGGTGGGGGCGGGCAGAGGGGATCGGCAGCGGGGCACCCTTGGCCTGGCCTAGGGGGTGGGGTGGGCATGGAAGACGGTTCTGGAACATCGCCAGCTCCGCAATCCCCTCCCCCCACCAACCAGGAGGATGCTGGCTCCAGGTTGCCATGGCAACCAACCATCTCTCCCGCGTTCCAGGCCGGGCGTAATATTTCTGGGTCTGATTTATTGTTTCAATTAGAGTTTGGGGAGGGAGGGGGATGGTAGATGACTCCCCCCCTCCCAGCCGCCCCTTCTTCCTCTGTGACGCTTTGGCCAAGGGGTTAGGGTCTGTGGGCCTGAAAGTCCTTGGCGAAAGAGGGGGCCCTCACACCAACCCCAACAGATGAGGGGTGGGGGAGGGGTGGGAACAACCTGTCTTCCCACCCATCTCTTGAAAGGAGACGGTGAATGTCTTCATCCGCTGCCCCCATACTCCCAGGCACTTCAGAATGTGCCTGTTTCCACATCAGATCTTGGCCAGTGGCAACCACACAATTTATATCCAGTGGTTGCTGAGTGATGGCTGGTGGAAACCTGTATGCTGAGGGGCAGAGGATCTTCAGAAAACTGGTTTCATTAAGCTTCCGTCCAGAAAGGAAAGAGCCTCAGTCTTCCTCTAAGACTGGGGGATCCCAATGGAAATTCTCAGTACCTCCTCCCCAGCTCTCTTTTGCTGTTGACCACAGCTTAGGGTAGCAGGTCCCTTTACCCACCTCCTCCCTGCCTAGAACATGGGGTCTTACCTCTGGGGCTGAGGCTGGAGTCTGGCCTATAGTGAGAGCCCCTTTCTCTGTCCCCCCACCCCCAGAGTTTTACAAAGAATTGGCTTGGGTCCCTGAGGCACAGAGGAAGCACACAGGTAGGGATGTCTCCCTCTGCATCAGCTTCCCAAGTAGTATTTGACTGGGTGCCCCTGCCAGCCCCGTGTCAACCCTATCCATTGTCTTTCAGCCAAGAAGGCACCCGACGGCACTGTCATCCCCAACGGCTACTGTGATTTCTGCCTGGGTGGCTCCAAGAAGACAGGGTGTCCCGAGGACCTCATCTCCTGTGCTGACTGTGGGCGATCAGGTGAGGTTTCTGGGGCCCAGGAGGGAGAGGGTGTCTGGGAGACCAGACCTACAGGCAGACCGGAGCTGGGGGCCTAAACACAACTGCTGAGGACTATGGGAAGTTGAGTGGGATCAGCGAGGCTCTGGAAATCAACAGTCTTAGTGGTTAAGACACTTGAATACTAACCTCAGCGTCAGTGGTTTAAACCCACCAGCTGCTCCCCAGAGAAAGATGAACCAGCCTGCTCCCATTGATTACCATCAGGTCAGAACTGATCCATAGCTGACCCTTCAGGAGGTTTTTCAGAGGCAATGAACCACACAGGAGATTGCCCATGGAGAAGCTAGGGGATTCAAGGCCGGAACCTTTGTGTTGGCAACACAGTTCCTTACCACTAAGTCACCAGAGCTCCCTTGTTAAGGTTTAGAGCCTTGGAAACCTGATGGGACAGTTCTGCTCTGTCATCTAGGGCCCCTATGAGTTGGAATAAACTTGAAGGTGGTTATTTTGGGTTGGAGTGTTTGGGGTTGCCCTAGCATTGTGGGAAGTGGTGTGTGCTTATGAAGGCAGTGGGAGTAGTGAGGATGGTTGCCGGTGCCCTGTGGGTAGTAGCGTAGCGTGTGGCCAAGATACAAGAGTAATGGATTGCTATTGCCTGGGTGCACGTGCTTGCCGTGGACTTGTGGTTAGCAGACTGTGGTTTCCTGTGGGGGAGTTGTGGGTAGCAGCCTGTGGTTGTTCCAGCACAGTGGGTTGTCATGTACTGCGGGGAGTGAGGTCTGGTTGTTATGGTAATTTGGGACAGTGGGATATAGTCGTTAGCGTGCCCAGGGTGGTGGATTTGGAGTGTCTGAGTGCTGGGCTAGAGGCCCGGTGGGATAAGTTGCCCAGTATTGCTGGTTTTGGATTGGTGATACACAACCCAGAGCAGTCGGGGGAATGGGTGTGGAAGGTGGGTTGCCATGGCATCGTGCCCAGGAGGATGTGGTTGCCATGTTACCATGGATAGTGAGCCCTGACTGCCATTCTTCTGTGGGTGATGGAATGTGGTTAACAAAATGTGGTCGCCTCGGTGCAGTGGCCAAGGGCGTGTGGTTGCTATGGTATTCTGGAGAGCCAAATGGGGTTGACATGTGTCTTGGGAGGAGACTGGTGTGGCTGCTGGGCACTGCGTGGGATGTGGACGGGGGGTGTGGGCTCAGGCAGAATCCTGAGGGCTGGGCCGGTTCTCCTAACCACACCCCACCCCTGGCCTCCAGGACACCCCTCATGTTTACAGTTCACAGTGAACATGACGGCAGCCGTGCGCACCTACCGCTGGCAGTGCATCGAGTGCAAGTCCTGCAGCCTGTGCGGCACCTCAGAGAATGACGTGAGTTCCCAATGCCCCCCAGCTACTCCCCTCCATCTGCCACCTCCACTTGTGCCAGCCGAGTCCTGTCTCCGGTGACCCTCCCCGGGGAGCACCACTGTCAGTGTCCATTTATCGAGCCTGGTACTTCATAATCCTCATCTCTCTGACTCCTCCCAGCCACCCTCTGAGGTAGGTGCTCTTGCCCCCACCTCGCAGAGAAGAAACCCAGCTCAGAGGGGCAGTGACCTGCCTGAGGTAACCCCACCCTGGAAGAGGGGGGAGTTGGGCTAGGAGCCCACAGCACAGGTGCTTCTAGAGCTGGTGCCAGACTGCGTGAGAGGCAGAGAAGTCTACAAAGTCTTCTAAAATCCACACCCCATACTGCAGAGTGGCGGCCCTCAGGGAAATGTCTCAAAGCCCCTTTTCTGGGGTTCTGGTGCCCAGGTCTCCAGGGTGCCAGCAGGGTAGGTCTCACCCCCTCAGGACCAGCTGCTGTTTTGTGATGACTGCGATCGAGGTTACCACATGTACTGCCTGAGCCCCCCTATGGCGGAGCCCCCAGAAGGTGAGAGAAGAGGTGGACGCTTGGGGGGTGGGGTGGGCAATGGAGGCCTGTATCCTGTTGATGGGAAGGGGGCTAGGCAGCCCCCTCCAGGGCTCCCAGGTGAGACCCGGGTCAGACTCCATCCCCCTGGGACCATCCTGCAGGAAGCTGGAGTTGTCACCTCTGTCTGCGGCATCTGAAAGAGAAGGCCTCTGCCTACATCACCCTCACCTAAGCCTGGCGCTGGCTCACCTGGACCTCTAGGTGGTGTCTGCTGACCTGCCCTTCCTCTTCCTCCCTTCTCTCCCACTCTTCCTGCCAGAGATGGGAGCAGGAGAGGGAGGGGACCGAGGGGCCTGGCCCACCCCTGCCCTCGAGGTGCAAGGGGGACATTTGCCCTGTGGGTTGGTGTTTCTCCTCCTCCTCCTCCTTCTTCTTCCCTGTCCCTTGGCAAATGGGCACAAGCTTCTGCTCCCATCAAAGCCATACCCCGCATCCATGCGGGCACAGGGGGGTGGATGCCAGCCCAGGACGCGGACAGAACCTTTTTCTAAAGAAAAAGAAAAAAAAAAAGAAAAAAAAAGAAATTAATATATACAAAGAGCCCTATAAGGTCTGCTGGGTGGAAGGGCAGGGCCAAGAGCCTGGACCCCCCTCCCCCCAGTTCCTGGTGTGGCTAAGCCAAGGTCAGCCCTGGGGCAGGTGGACACAACGCCCACCCCTCCCATCCCTCGGCCCTCCTGGTGACCACCGTGGATCTTGCATGATGTAAACCATGGTTCTGAACTCTGTTCCTGCCTCTCTCTCGAGAGCCCACCCGCGCCTGCCCTGGCTGGTGGGCAGCGGCTGTCCCGGCGGGCCCCGCCCAGCGTCTGCTGGAACCAGAAGCACAGACTGCAATGGACTAATCTTTCCTCCTTTCCCGGTCCCTCCGCTCCACCCGGCCAGGCTGGGCTGCCTCCTTGGCCACTTCGCTATTTTGGGGGTAGTGCGGGGGCGTGATTGTTTCTTGTGGTTGTGTGTGTTTATTGTTCGGGTTTAAAAAAAAAAAGGGAAATTGAGACTGCAAGTTGGGGAGGTGGTGGGTTTGGGGGGGTGTCCCCGACTCCAGGTGTGCCCCCCTTGTAAACGAGTCTCCTTTATTGCCTGCCTCTGCTGTGAATTAACTTGTTCTGTGTATTAAACCGGGCCTGATCCCTCTGCCCACTCTCTGAGTTTGGGGTATCGCCGAGCTGGGGAGACCTGGGGTGGGGGTGCGCTGAGTGGTGGGAGAAGGGACTGAACAGCTGGAGCTGCCTCCCCCCATCCTCCCTGCACCCTGCCGCTTGCTTTGTCCCAGCTCCTCCTTCCTTGCCTCGCTGGAAAGAAGGGGGATGGGGTGGAAGGGGCTGCCCGCCCAGCCAGCTGTGGTTGCCCTGACAACCGACTGCTGCAGCTGCAGTGGGAAGCAGTGTGCAGAGAGGCGGGCAGCTGGGGGAAGGGCAGGGCTGAGAAGCCGGGCCGGCTCCGCCCCCAGAGCCTGGGTAGGGGCTGGGGGAGGGGGGTGCAGATCAAGAGCCTGGCCAGGCGGGGTGGTGGGGTTTAGAGCAACCAGGACACGCCATGAGGGGGAGACTATAAGAATCACAAATTAGTGTAGACGGGATCAGAAAAGTGACATCAGGAGGGGAAGAAAATAGATCTGCAAGAGATCTCGAGGCTGCGAGCCAAGAGAGGAGGGGGAACAGGAGAGGAGGAGGTGGGGTGGGAAAAGGAAGTAATAGTAATGAGAAATAGGAGACACATGGGGGGAGGTAAACGTTCTGTGGAGAGAAACCCATGAAATGAAGGCATTTATGGAGAACTCCACAGAAGATGGGGAAACAAGAAAGAAAAAAACGGGGCATTTGAGGAGGACAAGAGATGAAAGAGGACTTTGGGGAACAAGTGACCGTAAAAAGATGACAGGAATGGGAGTAAAGGTATAAAGGGTTGGAGGGGGAAGAAGGGGAGGAGCCAGCGGGCGTAATCTTGGCGAGATTAGGGGCCGGTTTGCGTGAGCTGTGGGTTGCTGGAAGTTGCTGGTGAGGTCCACTGCTGCCAGGAGGATGTGAACACAACTTACTCCATGCTGTCCCTTCCCCGTGGGCTGGGGAGGACAGGAGTTAAGGAAGGGCAGGGCTTCCGGATTGTCTAGAAAAGACAAGACTTTTGGGAGAGATGACAATGGCTGGCTCGCTGGACAAAATCCTCCCCTTTTGGGAAGGGATCTGAGTCAAAGTAGCATCAGGTTTACCTCAGAAATGGAAATGCCAAGATTCGGGGGCCAGACAGGTGGGTGCGTCAGATTTTCCAACACTTCTTGGGGGGAGCCACACAGTGCAATTTTCATGTGGATTTTTGCTGATTTGGAAATTCAGCACGATCCTGATTATTGGGCCCAACTCAAAGTATTCACCATGCCAGAAACAAACAGGGCCAGGAGCTTAGGAACCTCCCTGGCTAGGAGCGGTTCCAGGAGGCCTGAGCCATGGCTGGTTTGGGAGGGTTAAGTTTCCTGGAGACACTTGGGGCTTGTGGTGGGCTGTGAGATCACACTGTAATCCCCTGGATACAGAGGATACTTCTTCCCTAAGCACCCACCGGGAGACTGGCAGAAAGCCTCCTACAGTGGGCCCAGGAAGGGACCAGCCAGGGGAGGGAGGGGTGTGGCCTGGGTGCTTGACACCAGGCCTGGGGGATGGGACAGGCTCCTCAGTTCTCAGTGCTGCCACAAAGGACAGTGGGAGCCTGTGGCTTACTAAGCTGCTACTTCCTTTGTATACAAGCTTTAGATTTTCAAATTGACTGTTGGGTTGTTTGTGCTGTTGAGTCACCTGCAATCCAGAGCGACCCTGTGTACAACAGCTCTGAAGCCCGTCCTGTCCTGAGGCAGTCTCACTGACTCTGACACACATCTACCCCCACTGCCTTAGTTACTGTTATGAATTCATCCCAGAGTCTTCCTTTCCTGCACTGTCCCTCCTGGCCACATGCCCAAAGTATGAGAGAGGGACCGTCAAAATCCTAGCCTCCAAGGAGCTACTTGGTTTCCCCGTCTTCAAGACAGACATACTTGGTTTTTTGGCAGTCCATAGTATGTTCAAGACTCTTCTCCAGCACCACAACTCAAAGGCATCTCTTCTTCTGTCATCCTTAGTCACTGTCCAGCTCTATGATGCATAGCAAGTAATTGCGAAGACTATGGCCTGGGTTAGGCACACCTTAGTCTTTGGACTGACGCACGATGCTCTTCAGTACTCTGGAGAGGTCCCAACAGATTTTCCCAGTGCAATTTGTCTTCTGATTTCCTGACTGCAGTGCCAAGAGTGTTGACTGGGGAGCCGAGCAACAACCTCCATCTCATCCATCATGGTGCTGTCAATTGTCTTTTGTCTTCTTGATGCTGAGCTTCAATCCATATTGAAGACTACAGTCCTTGACCTTCTGCAGCAAGTGTTTCAGGGCCTCCTCATTTTCAGCAAGCAAGGTTGTGTCATCTGCATAATTAATTCTAAAACACAGAGAGCTTTGAGGCTGGGCTTGAGTTTCTGCAACGTATGACAATGACAGAAAAGTTATGTATTTTTTAAAAATCCTAAAACATTCAGAGGAGCCCTGGTGGCATAGTGTGTATTGGACAGCCAACCAAAAAGGTCAGTGGTTTGAATCCATCAGCTGCTTTGAGAGAGAAAGCTGAACAGTTTCCTCCTGTTGAAATTTAACATTTTTGGCAATAATATAGAGGGTCACTAAGAGTTAGAACTGATTCGACAACAGTGGGGTTTTGTTGGAAGGACATTTTACATTCCAAATGTTGGATCTGTCATTTGAGTTGCAAGGAAAAGAAACTAGCAAGGCTGATGTTTCCCGGTTCTGTGAGAAGTGCATGTGCATGTGTAGGGTGGTACGTCTGGGATGAAGTGCAGGAGGAGAGACCGAGTAGGGCCACAGTGCAGTGCTGCACCCCACCCTTCCGCCAGTGAACACACGAGCCATTTCTATGAAACATTTATTTCCTTTGAAACCTCCAGAAACATGCCAGAAAATCTCAAGACGACAAGGAGGGGTGTGGAGAGGGAAGAGAGAATAAAGAACAATAATAAAAAAATCCAAATAAAACAAATCAATGTATGAAAAAACTGCTATCTTTAGCCATCAGAATACCAACCTCAAATTAAATAGATTTTTGTAGAGAGTCTTAAAAAATAGAAAGCAAAATCATAATTTACACTTCTTAATGTACAAAATGATTAGAATGATCTGAAGATGAGATGACAACTGATAAAAAAAAGGAGCTGCAGGTTAAGAATTGAGGAAAGGAGTTTGGGGACTAGGGAACCCCTGGAAGAGGGGTGGGGCGAGGGGCAGAGACATCACAGTAGTTGGCCAGGGCTGAGGACTACGGCCCACTCCTTGGCAGCAACCTCACACAGCTGATGGGCCCAACTGACAGGTTTGCTTCTCAGTTAGACCAGGGTGCTGCCTGGGGTTAGAGGGCGATCATGGGGAGGCACACTGTGTGCCCACTTCTCTCACCTTCTCCAACCTGGAGTGGCTACATCCCATGCAGCCCCATAGCCCCCTTTCCTGAGGTGCCTGGTCCCAGAGAGGAGGCTCAGGGTGTCTGGCTAAGGCTGGGCTGCCCCCCTACCTCCTTCCCTGGCCCTCCTATGGAGCCCCAGCCCGTCAGACATGCCTCTGTCCTCAGATCAAGGGTGAGGGATCCACAGACTGTGGCCATACAGACTTGTACTGGCGCAACTCTCCATGAAAAAATAAATATATATATATATAGATATATATATAGATATATAGATTTCTTTTGTTTTTCAAGAAGGGAAGGGGGTGAAAAACCCAACAAAAAAAACCAAGGGAACTGTTTCCTGGGTGGAGAGTGTAGTACCACATGGGCTGGGCTGCCTGCCAAGGGGCCCCTTCCTGCTGTTTGAGAACCTTCGTCTGGCAGGGTCCCACCGGGCAAAGCTGTCCTGGGAAGCACGGTGAAGGCGTCCAGTGCTCTCCACAGAGGCCCTCAGAATGGGCTGGGGGGCGACGGTGGGGGAACGAGAGCAGAGGAGGTGCCAGCTGTGTCTCCAGCCCAGTCCTGAGGGGCTCCCCCGCCCCCACCGGAGCCCTCTGGTGCATGGGAGAGGCCATGGCTGTGGTGGTAGGAGGAGAGAATGGGAACTGGCCTCTAGTTGTAGAGAGGCTGATAAAAAAAAGACTAGAAACTGCCCCAATTGTACAGAATCCCTTGCTCAAAGAACTCTGAGTGCTGGGGTTTCCTCATTCCATCCTTGATCTCCTAAGAAAGTTAGTTCCGATCTAAGAAAGTGCTTGCTCGTTTGGAAAGTGGGGCCGGCATCCTCTGCCCCATTTCTGAACACAGCCCTTGGCCCTTGACCTCTCAGGTGCAGGGCCGGAGTGGACCACTTCCCACTGGCCTTCCTCATTTGGGTGCATGGCCACATGTCACTGTCAGATGTGAAGACACTTGGGCTTGAACTAGAAGTGGGGCGGGGCCCTCCTTCTCCCCTTCCTTAGCTGGATGGCTTGGTCCTAGGAAGATGCTAGGTGGGATCGCTGGGATGAGTCCCTCTGGGAGTGGTGGGCCTGTCCTTGGGACCACGGGTGGGCAACTCTGAGGGAAGCCTGAGAAGATGTCAACCTCGCCCAGGCCCTGGTCTCCACTCTTGAGGCCTTGGGCCCAGCAGGGGTGGGGGCAGCAGCTAGTGACCCTGGCTGAGTTATCCCTTGGCACACAGGGTCCAAGGGGTGGAAGAGGGAGCCTAGAATCTGCCCACAGGAAAGGAGGGGCTGGGGCACATGGTGGTGAGTTGTGTGACCTCTGACCACCTCAAAGCTCCTTCTTCTCCCGACAGAAGATCTCAGCGAACTTGCGCAGCTGCTCGCTGGCGGCCTGCGACTCCTCCTGCAACCGCTGGTTGTTCTGCCGCAGGCTGGCCACCTCAGACTGCAACACCACCTTGTCCTGCTTCTCCTGTGTGGGCAGAAGGACAGGGCATCAGGCAGGCCCATGGAGGGTGCTCTGGGAAACCTGGCTCAGCTGTGGCTTAGAGTGGACACCAGAGCCAGGCTGCTGGGGTTCAAAGCTCAGTTCTGCTTCCTGACAGCAGAGTAACCTTGTTCCAGGCCCTCCCTGCTCAGCCCTCTCACTGAGGTCTTATAATAAAGGTCTCAGAACACGGCCTGACAGGGAGCTGGGTTTGACACATATCACTATTATTAGCATCATGACCTCATTTTATCCTCACAGCTCTGCCTGCTGCAGCCCCTGCCAGGACTTGGAGACTGCTGCCGTGCTTGTGTTCCTGAAGGGGAAGCCACGCCTTACACAGTAAGTGGGGAGCTGGGATGTGGACTTGGGGTTGACTGCTTGCTCTGACACACTCTGTTGGTATAATATCCTAAAGGGGTGACTTGTCCAAGGTCACACGGTGCTCGGCAGTAGGATGAGCATCTGAACGTGGCCACTCTGACAGCTGGGCTCCAGGACTTCCACATTACTTACCCTTTTCACTTTTTATCCCAAAGCAACAAGGGTGATCTACTCTGCAGTTTTCACCTTCCCTGGAGTGAAGGATATCACCTGGAAACCTATGATTGTTAAACTTGTTTTTTAAACTATGATGTTCTATTAAACAGTTCTGTTTGTTTTTACTTTTTACACTTTGTGTGTGCCCATAAATACACAGATTTCTACTATTTTAACTGGGTGCAGAATCTTCCAATGCATGCATGTATGTCTTATAATTTACAATGCCTTGGGTTGAACTGTGTGTCTCCCAAAATACATTAAAACAACATGGAAGGTATATACCATTCCCCATGATCTGATGAACCAAAGAGCTATAAAAGGATTAAAGGTGTAAACTAACTTAATCTTCTCCCAGGCTGGACATGGTGGAAAGGGTGTGGCAGGGAAGCTGAGAGCAGGCCCTCAGTACCACTGGGACTGACTTGAGTAGAGTGAGCCTCTGGACTCATGTCCCGGCATGGGGAAGCTCTCTGACCCTGGGGAAGGCCAAGAAGACACATGAGCTATCCAAGGAATGCCAGGCTCAGAGATGTGGAAGGACACGGGGACCTTCCTCCACAGCCAGCACAGAAAGAGGGCTTTCCCTAAGAGCTGGTGCCCTGAACTTGAACTTCTAATTTCCTAAATCTTCAGAGAACACATTTGTCTGTTAAAAGCCATTCACCTGTGGTATCTCCATTACAACAGCACCAGAAAACTAGGACACACAGCCATCTCCTATTGACTGCTGACCTCACTGGCCCCAACCTATCTGTGCCCGAAGTGCTGCACTGGTCTACTCTCTTGACCTGCGGTTGAAATTCTGGAGGACAAACTGCCGCTAGTAGAACTGCTGGGTGCCACAAGCTGCACATTTAGTTTTGGTAAGTACTGCCCAGCTGCCCTGTATAAAGTCCAATTAACTATCCCTCTAGGAATATGTCTCTGACTTGTCCTGAAATGAACAGTGTCCACTCCAGATCCATGACCCCCGGAACCAATGAGCTGACCACTGGGAATGTGGTGGCTGAAAAAGTGATCAGATTGGATGAGTGAGGAGGGGAGCTAAATCCCATGACGGGTGTCCTTGTAAGAGGGATGTGTGACAGAGGCTCACAGCACAGGAAGGTAATGACAGACACAAGGAGGGAAGATTGAGTGAAAAGGAGCAGTACACCCAGATGGTGAGAACATCAAGGATAGAAGCTGGACGCCAGACAAGGACTTCCCCCTCGGAGGGGCGTGGGCCTGTCGACATCTTAGTTTTGGGTTTAACCAGAACTTGATGCTCATGTGAAACACTGCATGGTTTCAAATAAGGAAAGGTGTGGTCGAGGTTGTACGTCTCTAAACCTATTCATTCCGTATGTTGGGCAAGTAATTTGAGAAGCTGGATTGTACAGAGAAGAATGTGACATTAGAATTGGAGGAAGAGTCCCCAGTAACCTGTGTTGTTATGATGACACAATCTTGCAGAAAGTGAAGAAGTCTTGAAGCACTTACTGAATAAGATAAACTACAACAACCTTCAATATGGATTACAACTCAGAATCAAGAAAACAAAAGTCCTCACCACTAGACCAACAGGTAACATCATGAGCCAAGGCTGAAGTTGTCAATGATTTTATTTTACTTGGCTCCATAATTAACACTAATGGAAATAGCAGTCAAGAAATCAAGACATGTTGATTGGGGAAATCTGCTATCATGGACTTCTCCAAAGTCCTAAAGAGCAATAATATCAGTTTAAAGACTAATGTGCACCTGAGCCACACTATGATAGATTCAGTTGCTTCTTATGCACCTGTAATTTGGACAGTGAGTAAGGATGAACAGAAAAAGAAGTGATGCCTTTGAATTGTGGTGATGGAGAAAAGTCCTAACTATCCCGTGGACTGCCAAAAGAACAAACAAATGTGCCCTGAAGAAGTGCAACCAGGGTGCTCCTTAGACAAAACGATGGTGAAACTTCCGGTCATGCACTTTGGGCATTTGAGACCAGTCCCTGGAAAAAGTCATCATGCTGGAGAAGGTGGAGGGCCAGAGAGAGAGGAGATGAAAGCCAAAGAGAAGAGAGACACAGTGACTGTAACAATGGGCTCAAGAATGATGCAGGATAGGGCCAGTTCAGCTCCGTGGTTCACAGGCTGCTATGAGTCACAGCTGACTCACTGGTACTGAACAACAACAAGGGAGCTCTGATGGCCTAGTGCTAAGAAGCTGTCCTGTTAACCCAAAGGCATGCAGTGTGAATCCACCAACTGCTCTGAGTAGAAAGACAGGCAGTCTACTCCTGTGCTATTTAAAGCCTCTGGGAACCTGCTAGAGGGTAAGCTATGAGTTAGTTCTGACATGACACATAACAGCAGCAGCAGCAGCCTCCAGAACTGTCAGGGGGTAAGTTTCCCTTCATGAACTTTGTGGTTCAGTCATGAGAAGCTAACTCACTGCCTCAGATAGCAACTGTCTAATTTTACTCATGACCACTGGTGGCTTCCCCCTAGGCGAGGGGACAGCGCTGGTGCTGCGTAGCCTGGAGGATTGGGGCAGTGGTGTGGGGACGTGGACGTGGAGCCTTACCTTCTGGAGGTCTGTGTGCAGCTGTTTGAGCATCACTTCCAGCTGGTACACCTTGCCGGTCAGGTCCAAGGACAGCTCTTCACTGCAAAGACAGCAGCAGGGTCAGACTGGGGGAAACTCAGCTCACAGGTGAGGCGCACAAGGCACAAACCCCGCTTGTCCTGGACATTCTGGCGTGTAATCCTTGTTGGGGTCCTTAGGGGTGCCTTGTAGAGAAGCTGGTGGGGGGTGCCAGAGTCCCTCTCCTCCTGGTGGGCTTTCCCACCAAGCGCACATCTGTGGTGGTTACTGAGGACCACGTGTGTGTGCTAGAGTGACTGACACCAGACCACAGACATCTCTGCGCCTCCGGGGAGTCGGCTGGGGGTGGGGATGGGGATGTGTGTGTAGTGTCATGACGACAGGGCCATTACGACATGACCTCACCTGCCCTATCTCAATGCCACCCACTTCCAGCCATCTCTTGGCATTTCCTCCTCTGTAAGGTTTCTGAGGTCACCAGTATGGTCACTATCAGACGGAAGAGGACACTTAGGCTTTGGCAGGAACACTGCTCATTGAGTGAGGAAGCTGGGGTCTGAGGCAGGCCCAGTCTGGGTCCTTCCTGGTCTACATCCCTTCCTGGAGGGTAGAAGCTGCATGGGGCTGCAAGGTGCTGAAGAGGTTGACAGGCTTGGGCAGATGAGGGGAAGATATCCCTTTCCCCCTTCATAGTTCTCACCTGCACCCCGTCTGCAGCAGGGTCCAACCCCACACCCAAGCCTGTGCCCAAGTTGTGCCGGGAGTGGGGACCACGTGCCAGGGATGCTCTGGCACATCTCTTTAATTTAGGGTCAAGCCAGTGTAATCAAGTTGGCTGTGCACTGTGAAATGACTGTGGCCAGGCCTCTCCCCAGATGAAGATGTGTGAGGAGACAGTCCACTTTAGGGGTCAGGAGGGCAGAGGTAATAGTGGCATCAATTAGGAGAAATGCAGAGTTAAGGAGCAGATGGGGGGACTGAAGGTAAAGACAGGAAGGACTGAAGGACAAAGAGAAGACTGGTGTCTTTGCAGGAAGGGGAATCATCAAAGATGATGGGAGTTGTGAAGAGGCGCCAAAGGGCAGAGAGGAGGGGCACTGAGGGATGGGAAGAGTGGAGACCTGAGGCAGAAGGGTGGGAGAAGGTGGAGAAGAAGGTAGAGGGGAACCTGCATTCAGTGAATGTGTAAGTGCTGATGAAAGCGCCGTCTCCACAGGGGACGCTGAGGATAGGAACCGAGCTGTGGTCACTGCCTGCCAGGTTGCTGGGGAATCCAGGAAAAGCTTACCTCATGGTCGGGGTGGTCCTGGGGGTGGGAGCCCCCCTCTCCATGCTCAGGTGGCTGTGGACAGGGCTGTGGGCAGGTGGGATGTCTGGGCTCAGGGCTGGGTCGTTTAGAGAGAAGAGAGAGACTGCTCTTTGCACTGCGGGGAGAGAGAGGACAGGGCTGAGGCACTGGGACTGTGGAGCTCAGGGTACCAGGTCCTCCATTGTGAGCACATTTTCTTTGAAATCCAACTGCTCACTCAGACCCCTGTGACATTTTCAGTCACGTATTTCTAAATCACACAGGCTAGCACAGATTCTTACCCCCCAAAATCAACTAACTGAAAGCACAACCAAACCAACAAAACCCCATATTGATCCTGATCTTCTCTGGATCCAAGGACCAACTTACTCAAAGTACTAGGGAGGGAAATACGCTATTCAATGGGGGAGTGGGGAACGAACAGGCGAACGAGACCATGGTGCCACCTCTGTAGCAAACATGGAGACCTAGGAGCCGGAACTGGACACAAGAGCCTTGATTTTCTGAGTCTTGCAAATTTTCTGCTTTGAATGAGGCGCAAACTCAGGCATCTTTCACTTGTGAATACTGCACTTAGTATCTTTAACAGATTAAGGCTTAGTGTTTTTAACCATCGGAAGGAGGAGTGGCATCCACTTCCGTAACAGCTTGTCTCTGAAAACCCTATGAACCTGGAGAGAGGATGAAAGGCACCCAAGCATCGAGGACTTTCCTTCATAGGGTCGCTATGAGTCGCCTGTGACTCGACGGCACTTAACAACAACAACATTTTTAGTGCAACAATGAATGAATAGAAACCCCAAATTTCTGTAAAAGTTCATTAAAATTAGTAAAATTCAATAAACAAAAAACCCCTAAAAAACAAAACAACAACATTTTTAACCAATATATCCCTCAGTCATTACCCTGAGTCTTTATTCAAATTGCACAGGTATCAGCCACACACACATTTTCATGGAGAAAACTCCAACTCGACAATACGGCTGGGACCACCCCCATTTCCTTGGCCAGCTCCTTTCCCTTGTCCTGAGGGGCTTTCCCTTGCAGGCTTGCCTGCTGTCCTGGTTCTCACACGTCCCTTTGTAACTGGCAGGGCTGTTTCAAACTTTATTAAAAGGAAGAATAAGGATCCCACAGATCTGATGTAAGAACCTCTCGGGGGCCCATGGTATTCAGCAGACTCTGAGGAAACCAGGAGGGAACAGTTACTACAGGTGCTCAACCCTTTTTGTGGTGCCCAGATTGAGGCTGAGAACCTCCATGCCCTTGGGAATACAGAGTGGCTGTTGTTGCTGGTGCCCTTAGCTGTTCGAAGGCACAGTGACCTGTGCACAACAGAAGGTAGTAGCACTGCCTGCCTATGATAACCTCACAATCCCTGCCACATGTTCACTGTCACAGCTACTGTGACAGTCCATCTCATTAAGGGGCTTTCTCTTTGTAATTGATCCTCTCCTTTACCAAGCATCATGTTCTGAGGCCTGGACCCTCCGCATAACACGTCCAAAGAACATAAGGCCAAGCCTTGACCACCCTTGTTTCTGAGGAGTTTCCTGGCTGCACTTCTCCCAAAACAGATCTGCTACTAGCTGTGACTGATTATGCTCCTGGAGTGTTTGGGATCTAAGGAAATTTAGTTTGTGTTCATAACAAGGACTGTTATCCCATCTTTCAGATGAGCAAACTGAGGCCACAAGAGGTTTAATCCCAGTTACATAGCTAGAAAGAACCTGGCTTTGAATCCTTCAAAGCTGGGATTCAAACCCAGGTAGGGGGTTCCTTTCCCTTTACAATCCTTCCTCAGTCCTTCTGCAGGAAGCTTGGGGGCCTTCACTGTGCTGTTCCCCGGTTTTCCTCACCACCTGCCTGGAGCACAGACACTGCACATGACTGGCAGATAGAATAGGAAGTCCCCAGGCCCAGGAGTGTCTAGTTCGTGGAATCAATAAGTAAAGCAGTCAAATACAGGGGCTCATTTTTAGTGAACACACTCAGGTCCTTTGGAGTGAGTCCTCAGGAGAGGGCTGCTTCTGTCCACAGGGCTGGAATCTGGCCAACAAACCTGAGGGGAAAGGCTTTCCTCATGCTAAGTTACCTAAAACTTAGCTAAAGGGCAAGTGCATTTTAAATTTGGTGCCAAATATTGTGGTGTGGTTCCCCAGAGGCCTAGCACTCTGTTCACACCACCACCTGCAATGCCTGGGAGGCCTCTTGCCCCACTGACCATGCTCACTGCCATTAAGTTGATTCTGAGCTTGAGTGACCCGGCACTGGGTTTCCAAGGCTGGCCAGTCTTTCTAGGAGGGGACTAGTGTCTTCCTCCGCTGAAGTGGTTGTGGATTTTAACAGTCGACCTTTCGGGTATTAGCCCATATGCTACCAGGCCTTCTGACTACCCTCTGTGCAGTTCTCAGAGAGGAAGAAAGTGAATGTCAACGTGCACGGATCTGTTATGAGAGAAGCTGAGTAATGTGTTCAAGAAAGTATGTAAGCCCTCTGAGTTCCTTCTACCAAAGGCCTAGTTCTTCTCCTTAGCTTTCTGGAGGGCTGTTCAGGCCTGAGCTTCAATCTTGGCCTTTTGACCAAGTCTCTTGTTAACAGGACTCATGAAAGGTACCCTGGAGCAGAAATGGGAAGAGCTGATGTTGCTCAGAGATGCTCAGTAATGCCAGTAAAGTAAGGATGGATCCGTGGCTGGAGGGTCACCTCTTCCAGGAAGCACCTCAGGGCAACCCTTTCCCACTCTGACTTTGTGAAGCTCCTCTTAGAGTCAGATTTTTTTGCACTGTTGAGTCAGTGCCTAGAAATTTCTCACCAAACCATTCTTAACTCAAACACTGCATAAATTGTGTAGATCCAGGCCCAATGCTGGGCCTAGGCTGACCATGCTGTCCCCCACCTGCCCTCCTCCTGAGGCCTGACTGCCATCATCTTCTGCCTGGGAGAGGCTGAAGGACCTGAATGGACACTTCCACCCAGGCCAAATGTCAGATGTGGACTGGCTAAAGCCTGCAGAGGTGAAGGACACGCCTCAATGGGCCTGGCTCAGCAAAGCCTGCTCTCGGTCAGAGCTCCCACTGGGCACCCAGCAATAGCGGAGATAGCCCAGGGTCCTGACTTCCCAGGGCATAGGCAGAAATCATCAGACAGTGACAGGCCAGGGACAGGGGGCAGGGCAAGGGCAGAGGGGTCAGTGATGTGAGAGCCCAGAGCAGGTGCCTGGTCCAGACTGAGGGGTATCAGGGAAAGTGTCCTAAGGAGGAATGGCCAGGCAGTGACTGGGAAGACAGATTAAATGAGCTACAAGAGAATGTTCACAGCACTGAAACAGACAAGGGGAATAGATGCTTATGAGGAATATATGATTAGGTATTATTGGCATGACAACAGTCCAGAATAAGAGCTGCATAGCAAAGTGGACTGAGGGGGGATTGTACAACAATGAACGAATTTTTTTTCAAAGAGAAAAGTGAACTCAGGGTTGGGGGTGGGCAGGGAGGAAAATGTGCAACAATGAACGAACGGAAATCCAAGTTCTCTATAAGCTTTCATTAACATTTCAATTAAAAAAACACACAAAACAAAACAAAAAAAACCCCCCAAGAGATTATTCACAGCTCTCGTCCATCTGCCCAAGATGCTGAGGGGAAAGGAACAGGGAAAGAAGGTGGCCCCGGCGCCTGCAGTGGCCAGTAAGCAAGGGGCCAAGAAGGAAGAGAATCTCCTGTTTGAGAAAAGGCCCAAGAACTCTGGCATCAGATAGGACACCTAACCCAAAAGGGACCTTACCCACTTTGTCATAGGGCCCCACTATATCAGGCTGCAGCAGGAAAGGGCAGTCTTCTACAAGTGACTCAAGGTGCCACCAGCCAATAAAGTTTCCAAGGCCTTGGACCGCCAGACTGCTACTCAGCTGCTGAAGCTGGCCCACAAGTACGAACCAGATACCAAGCAGGAGAAGAGGCAGAAGCTGCTGGCAAAGGAGATGCCCACTATCCTCCACGCTGGGGTGAATACTGCCACCGCCATGGTGGAGAACAAAAAGGTCCAACTGGTGGTGATCGTGTATGACGTGGACCCCACTGAACTGGTGGTCTTCCTGCTGAAGATGGGTCTTCCCTACTGCATCATTAAGGGCTAGGCCAAGGTGGGCTACCTCATCCATCGGGAGACCTGCACCACTGCTGCCTTCACGCAGAAGAACCCGGAAGACAAAGGCGCTCTGGCGAAGCTGGTGGAAGCCATCAAAACCAATTACAAAGACAGATACGAGGAGAGCCGCCACCACTGGCAACGTCCTGGGGTCCGAGTCGGCGGACCGTATTACCAAGCTGGAAAAGGCCAAGGCCAAAGAACTGGGCTGGTGTACACACTGACTTTTCTGCACAAAAAATTAAACTTATTCCGCCTTCTGCCATTTGTCATTGTGGGTTGGAAAAAAAAGAAAAGAGAAAAAACAAAAGAGAATGTTCATAGTTGTCAGAATCATTTTTGAGCCCCATTTTACAGATGAGGAAACAGGCTTACAAAGGTAAAGCCCCTTGCTCACATCACAGACGAGTAAGGGGAAGACTGCAGGCTATCCTTTGTGATCTTATTTTCATTAATAAGAGAATCTCAAACGTTAGGGGCATGGAGTCTCATTTCCCAGCCTTCTCTGTGTCTGGGGTGGCCAAGTGATAAGGCTCTGGCCAGCGGGGAGCCTGTGCAGGAGGGGTCGGAGATTATGGCACGCATCTTCTCTCCATGGCCGGAACTGGATGTGATGGCAAAGTGGCCACCAAGCTTGTGAAGATGAGCCTCAGATGGGGCCAAGCAGAGAGCTAGCAGGAATTTGAACTTGGATGAATCAAAGGAAGAACTCCTCCAGACCTATCCCAGAACGTCATCTGCACAGAGTCCTGCCTGCTCAAGACACTGGTAATGGGGGGTTTTCGCTACATGCAGCCAGAGAGATCTGAAAACACAATTTCATCCCATCATAATAACACAAGGTCCTGCTTGCTGCAGCCCCTGGCAATGGAAGGTCAGGGTGCCCATTCTGCAGACAGGATAAGCAGGGATCAGGCTGTACCTGAGCAGTGACTGGGACTGGGATCAGCTCCCCTGACTCAGAAAGCTGAGTGAGTTTCTTTTCAAAGCCATCAGGGCCTCTTTGGAGAAGGGGCAGGGGTCTGGCAGGGTGGAAGGTGCCTACCTTCGTACGCCTTGGCTGCGTTTACCAGGCTGGACCACTCAAGGCCAGCAGCCGTGTCGGGCAAGGGCATCATGCCAGGGTCCAGGCGACGCAGTTGCCGGTCCCGTCCATCAGCCAGGGACAGTTCAGAGGCAGAGATCACGGCTGGGTGTGGAGAGGGAAAAACAGCCGGGAATGTCAATATTGGTGGGAACACACAGTAGGGTGAGGGGATAAGAGTGTCAGATGTTTGTATAATTTTAAATCAGCTGCTAGGAAGGCCTCTAGAGGATGAGGTCTGAACAAAACTGGAGGAGGAATGGGGACACCAAGAAGGGCATTCCAGACAGACAGAACAGCTAGTGCAAAGGCCCTGAGGCAGAACTGGGCTCTGTTTGTTAAACGAACAGCAAGGACACCTATGTGACTGGAAAGGAGCAAGTGAGGAGGTGAGTGGCAGTGATGGCCAGAAGGTCACAGCGTTGGATTGTGTGAGGCCTGGCAGACCACGGGGAGAACTGTCCTTCCCCTGGGAGTGAGACAGAGCCAGGGCTCTCAGCTGCGTCAGGTGTTCACTGTATCCCTCCAGCTTTGGGGAACACACTCAGGCAGGAGGGAGCAGGAAGCCTGGGGGAGGAGGCTGTTGTGACATTCTAAGAGGGAAATGAGGGTGACATCATGGAAGGACCAGTGGGCAAACCCTGACTGGCTCTCTTAAATGCACACACTGGAATTTTTGGGAGGTTCAGAGCCTGAACACGGCAGGAGAGAACTGCCACCAACAGAGGGGGAAGCCTGGGGGTGTGGGGGTGGGCAATGCAGAGAGGCAAAGTATGAGATGCCATAAGATTGTCACAAGGTGACAGCAGGGAAAAGGGGAGCTGGTTACGTGAATGTGGAGCTTACGGGAAAGCACCAGCTGCTGACACAGACTGAGTCAGCATATACATATATACATCACTGTGTGGCTGTTACATGTGGCAGGGTCATCATGGGGAGACCTGGTAGGTTCAGGTGACATGACGAACAAGAAGGACCCCTTGAAGCCACTGGGTGCTGGAAGTGATAGATGACAAAAGCATGTACCACATCTGTGGAGCAGCCCCTGAACATAAACTCACTGGCCCCTAAAAGCCCTTACAAAGACAGGATAGAGGACGATGATGAGACAGAGAGAGGGCGGAGCTGGGCCTCAGGTGGCTCAGAAGAGGTGGGATAAGCTCACCCCCCCCCACTGTCCCAGCACCCCTACTGAGCTGAGTTTTCTGCAGGGACCCCCACACCCCTCCAGGAAGCAGGTGTTATGCCACATTACAGAGGCCAGCAGGCTCAGGGTGAGTCACAGCTGCAATGGGGTGCGAGGACGGACGGGGTGTGGTGGCTGGATGTGGTGGGAGAACTGACCCTGCTCCAAGTGAGGCGGGTTCCACAGAGGCTCCTCCTAACACTGGGTTCCAACCGCCTCCTGAGGCCAGCAATAAGCAGCTGGATGAGAGGGGAGTGAAACACTGACTCCTGATGACAGAATAACCAACCGAGCCAAACCCATTGCCGTCAAGCTGGCTCCAACTCACAGGGACCCTGCCCTGGATTTCTGAGGCTGCAAATCTTTACGAGTGGTGATCACCTTACTGCTTGCTCTCAGAAGCTGGTGGGTTTGAACTGCCAATCTTCCAGTTAGCAGCTCAATATGCTATTGCTATGTACTAAGACTTTCAAGGAGGTGGAACGACGCAGTGACTGTACCCATGGTCTCCAGCATGTTGGAGACTTAAGGATGGTGCAAATTAGAGCAAGGTTCAAAGGGTCGCTATGGCATGATGTAGCTGACTGGCGCCTAACAGCAACAACAAGGAGAGATGAGAGGAATAGGTCAATAGTGTCTCTGTTAAGGATAGTGATTAAATAACATGATGAGCAAAGGTTAATGTGTATGATGATGAAAGTAGAAACGGCACATTTATCTATCGATACACATACCTGCATGTGTGCATGTATGTATTATATGTATATTCCAATTATAAAGATCTGAGTGATAGGGGAGAAGGGTAAAACAGCGAGGATGCCTAGAGGCTTGGGGGTGGGCATTATTCTAACCACTTTATAATCGGCTGCCAGGGCTCAGATCTGACTCAAGCTCAAATGTTTTGCTCTCGAGATGTGCGAACAGGCTTGAGTGCCGCTCAGTCAACATTCACTGACTGACTGAAGCGCAAGTGAATGAGTGATTGAGGGCAGGAGGAAGTCAAGCCTGGGCTCTTGGCTGTGCATCCACAGTCTGCCAGTATTTCACCTGGGTTCAGCTAGTGTCGGGGTTCTGGGAGTGGCTGCCACACCGAGCAGGTGATTAGCAAACACTTCCTGAGAAGGTCCTGGGTCTGGAAGATCCTCCATGAGTAAAGGCTGGGCTAGCTCATCTGAGATCTCAGGCCAGACAAGGCTTGAGAGGGGCTCTCGAGTGGGCAGAGGAGAGATGAAAAGGCCAGAGGTCCTGACTACTAAGAGGCCAAATGGGCCAATCCCTGGTTATGGAGGGTGAGGGATATGGGCTGAGAGGTGTACGCATGTGTTGGGGGACACAGAGGGAACTGATGGGGCAGTGGTGGAAACAACCCAGGGAACTGTCCTACAGAGGCCAGCAGGGGAGATACCTGTTACCACAGAGTGACAGGCCATAGGGAAAGGAGGCAGTGAAACATGAGGTGGAGTGATCAAGGATGGGATGAGGGAATCCCTGGGTGCTATGAAACTGAGGAGGGCTTCCTGGAGAAGGGGGTATCTGGCTGAGACTGGAAGGATGCAGAGCTGGTTGGAGTGATTCACATTTGTCTGGTGTGTCTGTGTCTAATGTGCATACCTTTCTTGCACCCTCACTTACTCTGCACTGAATGCCTACTATGTGCCAGGGCCCACTGTAGGCACGGATAGAGTGGTAAAGATGAGAGCCCAGCCTCCTGCTCAAAGGGAGGAGACAGAGCTTCGCTGGCACAGGAGCACTCCCTGTCTTGCTTATAGCTGTTTCCCCTCCACCAAGAGCAGAGCCTGAAATAGAGTAGGGACTAAGAAAACATGTGGAAGAGATGTGATTTGGGGTGGTGGGTAGGGCACTCTGGAGTTGAAGATGAGATACGACCTGGCCCCTGGGCGTTGAGGGAGACCTCTGGGAAACAAAAGTGAGCCAAGTCCTGAACTAAGCAAGAGTAACTTACAGGTGGGCTGTTAAAAAGCATGGCAGGTAGGGTGGAACAGACCTGTAGGACAGCCTTAGGAAGGCAAGTACAGGCTGCTAGGGAGCTGGCAAATATGGTGAGGAGAAGGGCTGGGGCGAAGCCTCAAACACTAGGGCAATGGGGAGCCATGGAGGAATTTTAAGGGAGGAGAGGCTCTTCCATAGATAGCCCAGTGTCTCTTCCATTCCATCTCTTGTGCATCAGAGGCTTTGTCACTAACACCGGGGGCACAAGGGCTCAGCTGAAACTCTCAGGACCCAGGATCTGTTTGGATTTGACAAGGCAAATGTGTGTGTTTGTGTGTGTGTGTGTATTTGAGGAAGGCAAGTGTGCGTGTGGCGTGTGTGTGAGAGTCGTCAGTCACAGGTAAGGGCAGCCACATAGGACTCGTACCCACTTGGCATGGGTTCTGCTGACCAGTTGTATAAACCACCTTTCAGTTTCAGGCCTTTGAGAGCTGTGGTAAAGACTGCAGAGGGGACCGAGGAACTGGCAACCCCACAGCTCATGGCTTTCTGGCAGGGGCTATACCCAGTGCCTGTCTCTCAGAGATGCTTAGTAAATATTTGCAGGATGAATAAATCACAGGATGAATGAATCACACTTTTGTGCTCCCCCCCAATGCTGGCAGACTTGAGGGGCAGTCTGGTAAGTAAGTAAATATTCTCAAGGCAACCTGCTTGGTGCTAGGGCAGGGACAGGGAGCTGAGAAAGCAGCTAACCCCTAGTGACGACCCTCCCTCTGCACATGGAAGGGCCGATGCCCCGCTCGTCAGGTGACCAGCACTAAGTGTACCTCCTGAGGCTTCCTAATGCTTGATCCTTGGATGACAGCAAGAAGCCCTGAGAGCACAGTGTATAAAGTACTGGGCGCCTAACCTAAAGGTTGGTGGTTCAAATCTCCCAGCTTCTCTTTGAGAGAAGAAGGCACAGTTTCCCCTGTTAAGATTTAAAGCCTTGGAAACCTGATAGAGGGATGCCATGAGTCAGCATAGATAGGTTTCTGGGTGATAGGAGTGCCCCAACAGCAGGCCCCCTGAAGCTCTTGTGCACCCCAGTTCCCTCACTCAGATGACCTTCAGTCTTTGACCTGCTGGCGATCTCATGCTCAGGTTGACCCCACACCCTGGTCTTGGTCACTCTCACCCAGCCCTGGGTCACCCTGCCCAACCCAGGGTCACTGCCCCCACCCGGCCTCAGGGTGCCCAGGCTCACATTTCTTCTCTGGGAAGCCATTGCCAGTGGTGGGGACAGTGCTGGGGCCACTGCCCGGCGGGTGGGGGTGCTGGTGCTGCCGGCGGGTGGGTAGTGTACTGGAGGGGAAGGCGCAGGTGCTGGTGAAGAGCACGTCGCTGGGCAGGCCTGGCTCCAGGCTGGCAGGCGTGGCAAAGCTGGGCTCCCGGCGCCCACTGCATAGACTCTCATCCGACAGTGTCCGCTGTAGGCTCTTCTGAGGGGACTGAAGACAGGTGGACATGGGGCACTGTCACAGCTTTGACACGGCCATGGTCCTCAAAGGCTTCTTCCTATCTGGTCGCCTGTGGTTCTTAACCACCTGTCTGTCCCTTTATAGTCACAGCACTCCAATAATCCTGAGGGACACCTCTCACCTCCAGGTAAGAAAGAGACTGAGCCCTGTCCTGGGTGTCTGGTTAGGGGTGGGGTGTGGCCTAAGGTAGATCTTTGAGATTCAGCACTGGGACTTTAGTGGGTACCACTGGAGACAAAATGTTGGGAGTGCAGAACCCTGGAGAGATTGGGGAATTGGTGGCCCGAGACAGCACCTGTCTAAATGTAGAAACATAGCTGGTGTAGAAAGCCTGGTGCAGGCCTGCTTCTGTGGACACCAGGAGCCTGCCTTTCCCCTGGGGCCGTTTTACTTTATCTCTGTGTTCCAGGAGGATGGAACACCCCATGCCCAGTCAGTAAGATCCCTTTCCAGTCACACAGGTGTCTTATTATCTAACAAATCCCCACATTACTGCCATTCTGTCTCTGATGAAGATGGCTCCCTTACTCTTGGTCACATAGCTACAGACACCCAAACATGGCTGAGAGAACCTGTATTGACTGTAGGGGGATCCTTCCTGCCTGCTCTCCTCCCAAGCCCACCTGAGTGCAGGGGATGGAGGACGGAGGTGCTGCTACCCACCCCTGATTCTCTCTCCTGCTCCGGCCCCAGGTTGTCCATGATGATGAGCTTCTTGAGGTCGTCCTCAATGGTGGATTTATAGTTCTTCCGTGGGGAGCGGAGGTCGCGGAGTGATGCCCTCAACCTTGGCTGCCCAAAGACGTTTTTTGTGTTGGTGTCCACCTGCCTGGAACGAGAAGGTCAGAGGTCAGAGAGATCTGGGGATGCACGGGCCGCTCCTCAGAGAAGGCCACCTCAAAGGGCAGATGACTACATGTTTCACTCATGAGGGCTGCCAGCGGAGAGACTGCACTCATTCCATTCACTCAGTCCACCCACAGTCACTGGGACCTCCCCCCCGCCTGCCCGCATGCCTCAAAACGGACTGGGAACTAGGGAAAAGACAATGGGCTCCATAAAGTGAAGCAGAGGGAAGGGACAGAGAGGGACAGGACCCAGCGAGGGCCTTTCGAGGTGACATCGGAGAAGGAGCCTGGCTGAAGGAGGGAGGGGCAGGGCCTCAGCCAGTGGGGGCTCTGGAGGCCATGGGGCTGGCTCATGTTTGTGAGGAGCAGGGAGCAGGGAGGACCTGGGGAGCAAGGGGCAGAAACTACAGCCTGTGGTTGTATCTGGAGAGGGGCAGAGCCTCTGAGGGCCCTGATGTGGTTGGTGAGCTTGAGGCCCTGATTAGTGTTTCCAAGGGATTCCTCTGGTTCTTGGAGAGAAAAATCAATGCTTATGGGGGTGGGAAACAGGGATGGAAGCAGATAGACCCTGTGGGGGCTTCCTGCAGCTGTTCAGGCCTGATGAGCGTCCCAGATCAGGGCGCTCCCGGCCACAGAAAGGAGTGTGGACTGTCTAGATGAGACTGGATCTCCTGTGCAAGCACTGGCCTGCAGGGAGTGGCCCTCTGGCCTGCCTCATCTGTTATATGAGGTTACAGTCACATACGGGGCAAGGCTGGGACAAGTGGGCCTCAGAAGTGCTACTTTCTCTGCGGGTTTCGTACTCCCGAAGCCAGCCTAAGCCAGAGCCACCCTGACCACCATACTCTTCCTCAGCATTTCCAAGGCCAAGGGATGCTACACTACATCCCACTGCTTCCAGAGCTCTCTGTGGGCCACGGATACATGACCTGGGGCTAAAAGCAGGGGTGTGCAGGCAGACAGTGCTAGGCCGAGTCCGGGTCTGTTTTTTCCTGCTGCGGGACTTTGGGAAAGTTGCCCACTCCCTGATCCCCAGTTTTCTCATCTGAAAAACATGCCAACTCTCAGAGTTACTACTGGGATGTTGGCAAAGCGCTTAGTTGGCAACTGACAAGAGAGTAGACGCTTGGGAACATCTCTCAGAGATGTCTCAGAGGCTGAGCAACCCAGAGCTGCGTACCTGCTGACTGCTTTGTCAACTGACTACCCGCGCAGGGCTCTGCACGCTCTGTGGTGCCAAACCCAGCCCCTCAGGCCTCTATGCCCTCTGTCTGTTCATGGACCCGCATGCTCAGGCTGCCACCCAGTTGACCTGCCTTCTAATTCCAGCCTCGTGTTTAGTCTTCCACCTCAGGTGGGAATGGAGTCTTTAACTTGAAGCCCTGCCACCCCTCAGGCAGAGAAATACTAATAACTGGAGACAGCACAGGCGCCACTCATTAAAATGGCAAGCAATTTTCTAAGGGAGGCACTATTATCATCACTCCATTTTACAGATGGGAAAACTGAGGCACAGAAAGGTTAAAGAAACTATAAAACATTGGCCTGAAATCAGTTTTGTCCCAGCTCTCCCTTAACACCAGTCACTCTGTCATTACCTAAATCTTTCTCTTTCCCTTCATAGCAGCTGGGGTCCCTGATGGGTGGGGTAAATGTTTAATGTGGTTGGTTGCTAAGTGAAAAGCTGGATGTTTTGAATCTCCCTACGGGCACCTCTGAAGAAAGATCTGGCAATCTACTTTGAAAACCAGTCACTGAAAATACCATGGGCACAATTCTGTTCCTGGCATTGAGTTGATGGCAACGCTCCCTTTTCCCCCCTCCATAGAAGTTTTTGCAGCCTGAAAGTGTCTTTTCTCTGTATGTTCTTTTCATCTGATTACTCACTAGGAAGCAAACCACATGAGACCATGGCAGGGTCACCCCTATGAACTCATTTAGACATCATAGCCATGAGCCTAAGTATTACTAGTATCCCATTTCACAGATGAGGCACACGAAGGCACAGAAAAATGAAACTACTTGTGTAAAGACATACAGCCGGTGAATGGAGGTGTAAAGATTTGAAATAAGACTGCAAAGTACAGAGCCTAGAATGGTTACCATGATGCTTGATTGCTGTATATCACAGAGACAGAAATAAAAAAAAGGATGGCAAGTATAACATTTGGCTCAAAACAAAACACATACTTCTATGTGCAGAGAAATGTGCCCTAGTAGGACAGTGGTTAAAGAATTCAGCTGCTAGCCTGAATTCGGTCAGCAGTTCAAACCTACCAGCTACTATGAGGGGGAAAAAGATGAGGCAGCCTGCTGATGTAAAGATTTACAGCCTCAGTTCTACTCTGTCTTAAAGGGTCTCCATGAGTTGGAATGGAAAGCAATGGGTTTGTTTTCATTTATATACAGAAGAGAATTTCTGGATAAAGTTATGGACAATGATGATCTTTGGGGAAATGGATTCTTACTTAGGGAGTGAGAAGATGGACTTTTACTTTTCACCTGATACCCTTCTGAACAGTCTTTTTTACCATAATCATGTACTGTAACAACAATAACAAACGGGAGTTATATTTTTTTTTTAAAGCTGACAACTAACCATTATCATTTTGTAATTCAAGAGAGGGAAAGGGTCTTTGAATTCCTACCCAAAATAAGATGTCTTTGGCTCTGAGGTTCTGAAGCCTGTATTCCCTTTCTCAGCTGCCAGCCTGAGGATTTTAACAAAGGAAGAGAAGGTGGCAAGTATTTTCTTGTGAGGTCATATTTCTCCCCAGATTAGCAGTCCTAGACTAGGGTAATTCTGGCTTTGCTGATAACAGGCAACAAAGTTCTCTGGTTAACTTTGGAATCAAGTCAGAAAGAAACACAGAGAAATGGACTTATACACCCCAAATAGTAAATGTTCCTTCTATAGCAGCTGGAAGAGATGGGAGGAGCCCAGTAATATTTATCTAGAGACTCTGGAGGGAGCCTCACAGTCCCCTCACTTTTCCCTTTGCAGATTTGGTATTTTCCAGAATCCCCTGCACCAGGAGTGCTGTGTGGTGGGAGCTCACTGGCAAGGGAGCAGGCCAGGCCTGGTAAGAGTCTGGCCTTCACCTTGTCTCCTCACAAGAAAGGTGCACTGTTCAAAAGCTCTCCTCCTGGGCAGGATAAAGGGGTCTGTTGAAACATTAAAGCATGCATTCTCTCTGCTTAGCAGTTCTACTTCTAGAAGTGTGACCTTCAGAAAGGCCTGGGTACACAGGGAGCTCCAAGGGCTCTGTCTGTGGCATGAACACAGGGGCTACCAGCCAGGGAGGAGTGAGGCTGAGACCTGACAGAACAATAGCAACCAGCTGCTGGAAAGAAATAAGGTTGATCCACAGAATGTAAAAAGAGTTTCTCCCAGATATATTTATTAGGTGAAAACAAGAAACGGTATATATTATGTGAAGCAGTTTTATAAAGACTGCTCTAGTGGTTTACTGGTTAGCATGTGTGTTGCCAATTGAAAGGCCTATCGTTTGAATCCACCAGTTAGTTGCTCCATGGGAGAAGATGGGCAATCTCCCCCCATGTGATTTACTGCCTCGGAAAACTTGCTGGAGGGTCAGCTATGAGTTGGTTTTAACATGATAGTACATAACACCACCATAACTACTTTATAAAATACATTTTAGTTTGGCGTATGATTTAGCTTGGTATACTGCTGCTCTTGTCTTTAAGAGTAGAATACATGAGGGTTTACTTCTGGAAATTTCTTACAAAGCTCATGGAGTCCCACCAACATAGTCTTCTCTGCCTTCATATCTCTTCATTCTGTTCCTCTGCTGCAGCTACATGGGCCTTTTTGATGCTCATTAAATACACAAACACACTAGTTGCACTCCTGCCTCAGGGCCTTTGGACTGCCTATTCCCTCTGACTGAAGTGCCCTCCTCAGTGCCTCCTATCGGTAGCATCTTCTCATCCTTCTAACTCAAACATTGCCCCCTCAGAGAAGCTGCCCTTTGCCAACCAACCTTCTCAGCTTTGGAATCTCAATCCCACAATCCTTTGCAATATCTTCACAGTATTCATATTGTGATTTGCCTGGTATATTTGTGAGTTTTCTGTCCACTTCCATGACTACTCTATATATCAGCTCAGTGGGGCCAGAACTTTGCCTGCAGCCTTTTGCATTCTGTGTTCAGTGTCAGCAAGAGGTTGTGCTACAAGTAGGTGCTGAAAACAGTTGTAAAAAGTCTATCACACTGGGAAAGGAGCAGATGCAATATAAGGTTGGCTGAGTCTGACTTCTATCTGCTTTAGAAAGGGGAATTGCCCCATCAATGATATCTATAGTACCAAAATAACTACGAGGTCAGACATGCCACCTGCCATGCTCCTGCACCTTTTTCTACCAATCACTGGGTCTGACGTTCATTGCAAGACTCACAGACTTTACTCAATTTGTGGGGTTTATTAGGGAAATAGGTTGGAGAGCAGATGAGGCGAAGAATATCATACAATGCAAGTCCAGATTTAGTCCAGCAATTCCAAGCCAGATTAAAAGCCAGACACAATTAGTGAAAGACAGCTTTTCAGTCAACCAGAAGGCCAGGTTCAGTTCAGAAGCACAAATGCAAGCAGCCTCTGGTTTACTCAATCATCCAGCTAAGTTTATCTTAGATCAGTTGTAAGGCAGCTTTTCCAATAATCATCCAGCAAGCAAAACCTTTAACTGTGTCCTTTATCTCCAGGGTTTCTCTGGTTACACCTTACCACAGTCTCTTCACAGCAGTACCACAGTCTCTTCAGAGCTGTGCCACAGTCTCTTCACTCTCTCTCCACCACTATTTCCCAGTGTCTTTACAGACCCTCCATCACTGTCTCTTACAGTGTGGAAAGCGTTCTCTTATATAGGTCTCAGCAGCTGTTGATAATTTGCCAGGCCATATGTCCACAGTTAAGGTAGCTGGAGATCATGCCTCCAACGGGGGCTAACACAATGACT